TTCTCTCATAGTCCACAAACACCCAGACACGGTCTACACAAAAAACGCAACATTTTTACTATGCCAGTGCAGTTAAAGTAACCCAGGCTTCCTGGTGGGGACGCAGTTATACCAGTGTACAAGTGTGGCTCCTGGTATAGCTTGCTCCTTATTAGCTGTGTGTAGACCACGTAAAAGTCTGCACTTGAAACCACAAAGGGAAGATTGTGACCGTCATGTTAAAACTGTAGGTAATAGTCCAAGGAAAGGGGTAAGCTTTGAGAACCAGGTTTTTTTCCTCCCAGCATGACTGACCGGGCTGGCAAGGGAGGAGAAAATGAGATCAATACAAATGCTTGTCCGTTTTACTGTCAGTTAATCCAATGCAAAACCTCTTGTTGTTAACCAAGGCACAGAGCACATGAAGTTACCATACTCTGCCACCATCACTACTGGACAGCACGAAAGTAGCTCTCCTTAGAATTGAGCTGACATTCTGATAAAGGAGTATCTTACCGGCAAGGAAAGGGCAGCTGTCTCACATGCAGAGAGACTTATTACTAAGCTTGAAAAACCTACTTTTTCTCCATGTTCCAATATATTTTGCAAGTATTCTCCATCCTCCTGGTCTGCATGTACTGGGCCCACAGGGATAAACATCCCCTTATAATACAAAATGATCCCTGATAACTCAGATGTTATGGCTCTCCTTAAGAAATGGAAATCTTGACCCTCGCCCACTGTGACTGGTTAAATGACTTACACAGTACAGAACTAGTACCACCTGGGATAGAACTGGAAGAAATATTTCATCTGGGGCCATCTGAAACAATTACACTAGGTCTGGCTATAGATCTCGCATCAGCTGCTATACAACCAGTCCTGGCTATCATGTTTTATGTGGTCACAGCTGGTAGCAGCCTGGGTGTCTCAGATGCTAAACCTGCCAGAAATACAGGTCATAGCCATATATCTATGAATCAATAGTGCTCAACATATTTTAGTTACTTTGTTTCTCGCTCGACCGTTCAATGCATCTGATTCTGTTTTTACTCCAACGGGCAAAGTGGCTAAAAGAAAGAAGCTTTTCAAACTGGAATGCTATTGGCCTAAGATTTTAAAGAAAAGAGCCCCACGGCCCCAGAAGTTTCTTAAAACAATGGCACAAGTGCGCACAAAAGTATGTGGAGAGGAGGCAGAAAATAGGGCTGCTGATTTTCAAGATATATGCTACACAATTAGAAGTGCTGGATCTATAAACATCCTTAAAAAAAAACCAAGCCAGCCAACAGGTCTAAGGGTTTCATGTTTTCCCCACTGCCCATTGTGTGCAATCCCCTCCTAGAAGCTTGTAAAACAAACATTCTTTCCCTATGGATTTGATCCCATTGCGTTTAACCAGCACGTTTCCCTATTTTTCTAGTGGAGCTGTTGTTACTGACTCTTTGTACTGATACTTCCTGGGCTGAGCTGTTTAGTGGATAGCTTTGTGCACAGGCCTTGTAAACTGCTGCTACAGAGATGGAAGGTGGGTGGGGGTGACACTTTGTTCCTCTTTCAAAAAAATGTCCCCTCTTTAAATAAATACACACAGACATACATAAAAGGGTTCTCCACCTAAAAAGAGATTGATTTTGTTTTAAATGATACTTCGGCAATTGTTCTCCGGATCCTTTTAAGGCAGTCCAAAAGTGGCTAAACTCCTGAATGAATTGCCCTTTAACAATCTTCTATACTCCCTTCTTCTAAGTTAAGCTTCTAAATTCGGAGAAAAATACAACTCCTGGGTGGGGTTGAGAAACTGTGAATTTCTGATACCCTGGTATTCATGACAACGTACCCAGCACGACAACAGAAACATCCTAACCCGGATTGCTGCTGTCAATTCAATACTCAGAATGGGATTTGAAATCAAAACGTCTCAGGTGCCAACTCACTACAGCAGCTAGTAAAAATATGCAGGAATACCTAGAAATTGAGGAGATTCTGCTCCAGTTTGGATATCATGAGGTGCCTTGTAAAAACAGGGTGCATGGTTACACGTGAATGTCAGGAAGCACAAATGGCAAGCCATGAAGTGAATCTGCATGTGCGTTTGAGCAGAGAGAGAACAGGTGGTGGGAAGGAGATGAGGCATTACCTCCATGCCATCAAAATCACCCCAACAAAGTATCCCAGAACTTCAGCGCAAATATTCCTTCACCGGAGAGCGCAGGGCAGATTTTCTAGAGCGCCCAGCAGCTAACAGCTGCCATGTTGATAACTAAAGATTTGAGAATGTGGGTGCTGTGCACTTTGGAAGATCTGGCCTCACTTTTGCCCGACACATTTGTGCATGAGGCCTCTGCAAGTCACTCTCCGTCTTAGGGCTAGGCTGAAAGCTACTGTAATCTACATTTAAGTAGCAGTTCTGATCCTTCTGCCAATGAAAGGGAATGTGGGGCACATCAAGAGTGACATTTTCCGTTAGGTGCCCTTTCCTATCTGCCCTGTGTGCAATCATCTGCGGGACTTACTTGTTGCTGTCCCGATACTGATAGATATAACAGCCTTGAGGCATCCCGCTTTCCTTGTCCAATGTAAACGAGAGCTTCAGCTGCAAAGGGGGAAAAAAAGAAAAGAAAAGAAAAGCACATTTAGGCTGAGTTCTCACTCACTACAGCAACTTCATGAAAGGCTTGTGGGAGAAAGCAAACTCACCAAGACTGACACGCAAACACTGTGGCCTGGAATATAACATGGGGTTCCAAACCTCAGCGAAAAGTCACATGCATTGCAGAAAAGCTCTCTCTTTTTCCACCCTTTGTTACTATAAAGTGTTTGTGGTTCCTCTGAAATGTATGGGTCATAACGGTTCACCCCTCCAAACCCACCCACACACACATCCCTTCACCAAAGCTATTGCGGTTCTCCTCAGACACTAAAGAAATGAGTGTTCTCCATCAGCAGCTGTAGTTCCCACGAGCCTCTTTCTCTGAAAGCCTTCCCGGCTTCATCTCATTCCTCCAGTGCATTAGAACAGAGGAGAAACCACAGAGGGAAAGGTGACAGATTTTTCCTTCTGGGCAGAGTTATTAAAGAGCTGTTAGGAAGGTTTGTAGTTTGGACCAGTGTCCAGCAGGAGGCTAGGATGTGACCTGGAACGCTGCTTCCATTGCCACTCCAAGACGGTATTCGGTAAGAGTTTTCATATTTCATATGTAACTTAGTCCAGTTTTATTTAAGGGGGAAAAACCGAATCCTGTTTCGATAGCAGTCGGAACAAAAGGAGTTCTGCAGGAGAACTGGTTAGTGAGAATGTCTCTATACCCTAAGCTACCAGAAAACAGAACGGGGCTGACCTTTCAAATATGGAGGTGTGGCTTTGGCAGTCTGGGGGTCCCTCTTGATTGAAGTGGAGACGGCTCTGATCAAGAGGAATCATCACATGCTGTACCCAAGAGGTGGGTGGCAGCATTCGGCTCTATTTACAACAGTTAAGTGCAGCCCTCATGCTCCTGGCAAATCATGTGTTTCCCCAGCCTGGCAAAGTTTGGAGACCCCAACGTGTATTGTGCACTTTGGACAGAATAGGCAGTGTGCTTTGGAGAAAGTAGTGATGGTATTTATGTACCAGGGCCCAGATTTTTAAAGATATTTGGGCACCAAACTCCCATTGAAACCAATAGGCGTTGGGTGCCTAACTATGTTTAGAAATCTAATCCCAGGTAGGACTGCTTTAGTTTTGATCTAAGCTGAATGGAGTAATATCAAAGAAAGGGTCTCATGAACACCTGGATGCTGAAGGACACTTGAAATGAATTGGGGAGCCCATCTCTTTTATAGAGGCTTAACCCATAACATTTGAAGTGAGTTTATTATGGTGGGTCTGCTCTTTTTAAATGCAGGGAGATGAAGAGCCCACTGCTAAACCACTGCATTTATTTACAAATTCCTCTGGCTTATGAACTCCAAGGAAATTGCTAACAGAAATTAAGTGCCTATTAGGGAGACAACACTGTATTAAAACATTTTTTACCAGTAGACTGTTAACACAACCGATGTTCTGGATCATTAGCAGTTGTACAGATTTTTCCTTCTCGACAGGATAACGAATACAAAGTAACACAGTGTGCTCTTGCACAAATAAAACTGAAGCTGCTGAAAACTCAGTCATCACTGAGCCTGAATAGAGAATTAAGTACAAGGCTGAGATCTAATCCACCGGAACTGCTGCATGTCTTGCAGTTCCATGCCAGGTGACTGAAATACACTCCCCCTTAGTTATTTACGGTGCACGTCGTTATGCCATGCATACTCCTTGGACTTACCGGTAAATAAACACATCCTTATTTTGCATCAATCCATGTAATAAGTGCCATAAGAATGGCCCTACTGGGGCAGACCAAAGGTCCATCTAGCCCAGTATCCTGTCTACCAACAGTGGCCAATGCCAGAGGGAATGAACAGAACAGGTCATCATCAAGTGATCCATCCTTTGTTGCTCATTCCCAGCTTCTGGCAAACAGGGGCTAGGGACACCATCCCTGCCCATCCTGGCTAATAGCCACTGATGGACGAAATGCCATGTTCCATATACTCCTATTTCCTGTGAGTAGCTACCTTCCTAGGGACACAGTTATCTTACTTCTAGCAGCAAATTTCTAAGACCCACCTGTGGAACAACTAGAGCGTAGTGGACCGAGTAAGGAGTTGGGAGCTGCCAGAAGAGAAATGGGTTTTATTTTCAATTGTGCCAGTTTAACCAAAGCTTTCCGGCCTTTGTAAAACATTTAGGCCCTGGGGGAATCACTTGGGGAATCCATATCCCAAGCCAAACTAATACCAGCTATCCCTGGCCACAGCTCCACACAAGCCCTGGAGAATCTGGAAAAGAGGCAGTAAATCACATTCCAGGTTTATATTGAGGGAATAAAGCAAGGAAGGTGCAAAATTGTATGTCTGATTTCAATCAGCCTTGACAAACCAAATCCGACGGGCACCCATTGACATCGTTATGAAGTCTGTCCATGTCAGTCTTCGATCGACACCCATGAGAACTAAGCTACCCTCAGTGCTCACATTTTGCCCTGTCACAATTCTGGTAAATCAAATCAGCCTCTCTAGTGCTTCACAACTAATCTTCTTTTCTCCAGCAAGATGCACTGCTGGGAATAAGCTCCACTCATGGAGACAAGGAAGGAAGAAAAAAGTTTGGGAAGAGAAATCACCTTGTTTTCATAGAACACAGTCAGACACACAGATTTCTGGTCACTCCAGGGGAAAGCCAGCAGCTAACTAAGCTACCAGGTATGGGAGAGTAAACCCTAGATGGTCCAAGGCAGCAGTTGTAGGAGTGCACCCCAGTGCTTGGGAGTGCTGAGTCAAGTGTCCAGGACAGGCTAAGTTTGACAATATGCATTTAGGCTTTTGTTAAGTTTAACCCTCTTCTCTCTGCTTCTGGTGTTCCTATGGATAAGTAACGGATATTCTTTCGAAGAAGCTGTTCCCCATCACTGCATTTACCAGCTGGTTGTAGCTCCCCGAGAGGACTCTGTAGCAGGAACGACATTCAGCTGGACCTGCTGGAGGTGATACGGTTAGAAAACAGGGCGTGCTGTAGTCTGGTCATCCAGACGGAAGTGGGGTGCACTGCAGGATTCCACTCTGAGAGAAGTGCAGGTCACGTGAAAGAAATGCCCAGAAAGAGAGATCCCAGCTACCCACAGCTCACCCCTTAGCCAGAACAGTTGATGGTAGATGCATGCTAAAGAGGGCATGGAAAGAGAATGGCTCCTCTGCTCACCTGTTGCAGGAGCACTTGCTAAAGGCTAGAATGCAGCAGTAGCCGAACAAGGAGCATTGTCAGAGGGTAGAGTGAGAGGATAAGGGCCGGGCTGCTCTTTGCACTTTCCAGTTGGTCACCACTGCCAACAACAAAGGGCCTTGTGTGCTTCTGCATCTGTAATGCTCTGGCCAAGCCCTTGATGGGGAGTTGTGTGCATGCACATGGGGGGTTCACACTGGATTCTGGCTGAGTTCTGGTGTTTGTGGGGGAGTAGGGGTGGGCAGAAAGCCAAAAATAAGAATGGAGAAAAGCTAAGAGATTCAACAGGGCTAGAACAACCAGCTGAGCACTATGGGATGCAAACTGTCTCACACACAATTTTTGAGTCTAGCCTTAGTGGACTGTAATACGCCGCCCATGAGGACTTTAACGCTGGATTACTAGTTTCCCTTCTCCATTTAAATCATTCTAAAGAGACAAATCCATAACGGGAAGCAGGAGCTCAAACCCCGCTGACTTCTAGTGGGAGATCGTATCAGACAGTCCCATCAACTTCCAGTGGGACTTGTGCTTCCGAAAATCTCACCCGTACTTCTTTAGATCTTCTCACCGCTACAGCAAATCTACAGGTACTTCTTAACGCACGCCTCAGAGAACCAGCTGCATGAACTATGTCTGCCCGCGCAGACTCACTCCGGCACAGACTGTCGGAGTAAAATACCCAACAACGTGGGAGAGGGCTTAGTTTAGAGCAGAGTTGGACTTTTTATACCTCCGCTTACGTATATAATTGAGCAGACATGCCAAATAGCTCACACAATCCACCTAGAGTATCAGTATACCTATTTCTCAGACTGGCAAACTGAGGCACTGGTAAACCAAGTTAGGTTTGATGGGATAATGTGATTTTAGTCAATTAATCAACAGCGTGCCATCGCTGGTAAATAGTATCAATGGTCAATGAGGGTCTGGCTGGAGAATCTTGCCTGCATGCTCAGGGTTCTACTGATCGCCATATTTGGGGTTGGGAAGGAATTTTCCTCCAGGGTAGATTGGCAGAGGCCCCGGAGGTTTTTCGCCTTCCTCCGCAGCATGGGGCGGGGGTCGCTAGCTGGAGGATTCTCTGCGACTTGAAGTCTTTAAATCACAGGATTTGGGGACTTCAACAGCTGAGTCAAGGGAAAGGGGGTGGGTCAGCTTTTGTGGCCTGCATCATGCAGGAGGTCAGACTAGATGATCATAGTGGTCCCTTCTGACCTTAAAGTCTATGAGTCTATGAGTCTATAAGTGACTTGCCCAATGACACAGAGAGGCAGTGGCAGAGTTGGAAATAAAACTCACACATCCTTTCTCCTAGTCCCTCTGAAGACCCCTGACCACCAGACAACACCATCCTTACTATTTCATCCTAGATAAGCATCTTCTCCATTCACTCCTGCCCAAAACCCATTAACTAAATAGTAGGAATTCTATTGATTAACTGAATTAAGAAAGTCACATGGGAGGTTGGGGGGATTTACTAGTATAGTAGATTTCCCTGAGCAGTTTATCTGCATTAGCATTCATCCCATCTGTTTTTCTCTACAACTGCAGAGATGTCACTAGACATCCACAGTACATAATCCAAATGTGCTGTTGCAACGCCCCCACTCTTCGTCCATTTGACAGCATCGCTCAAACAGCCGCAGGTCTCAATCTGCTCCCCCCATCCTGCTCCTCGTCAGCACCCAGAGACTTGAAGCGCAACCGGCGAACAAACAGGAACACAAAACACGGAAAGGCCACTCACTCCAAATAAAAGCCTGCTGACTTTGTGCTGGGGGGGGAAT